TTTATTTATTTTATTTTATTTATTTTTTTTTAATTTTAATTTTTTATTTTTTACATAATTCTATATATGTACAGGTCGTAATATTTCTTTAGTTGAGCAATTGGATCTTGACGAAGTCAATCGCTTAATTATACGACTTAAATATTTTTTGGAAGCCACTAATGACTTACAAAGCGATTCTATAAACTTGGATGATGTCCGTGCCTACTTTGATTTGTTAATAGAGGAATGCCCAGAGTTAGAAAGTCTGCTAGGAAAAAATGCGTTGATAATCCACGATCCAGGGTTTGAAGAAGCTGTCGTTAAAGTTCTGCGCAAACAAGAAACTATACTAACATTTGGTGAAAAGCAAAAGCTTGAAGAATTTATTATTGAGCGACAAATTGAAGAAGAAAGTCCCTTAACTATGAAGGAACGAGTTGCGAAAAAACGTAGATCAGAAGAATCGATGTACATGGATATGAATATCATTCCTCCTACTTCTAATGCTGTAGAATGGTTGTTTTCGCTTGTAAAGTATTACTATACGGACTGGCGAAAGTCTCTTGACCCGTATACATTAGAAAATCTTCTATTGCTAAGAGTAAATAGTAAAATGTGGTCAATTCGGGATGTTCACCAAATTAAACAATAGTTTTTACATGTATATATATATATTTATTTTAATATAAATTTTAATACAATACTGTACCTTTTTAAATACTTTTATTATAATAATTGCAATTAATTGCAATTATTTCGCAATTAATTGTTTTGCAATTGTTTTTTTTTACAATTAATTGTTTTGCAATTGTCATTTGTAACAATGTCAATTAAATTTAATTGTGTAATAATTTAATTGCAATTTAATTTTCGGTAGGCCTGCTCTCAAGCATCTAAATTAATAGGTCTGAGTTCAATTTTTAATAAGTGGAAAATAAATTATTCTGTCAAGTGAGTTCATTATCGCGATAAAAAAAAAAGATGGTTTCTGATCTCCTTTTTTTTTTCATCGCGATAATGAACTCGCTTGACAGAATAATTTATTTTCCACTAATTAAAATTTGAACTCAGACCTATTGATTTAGATGCTTGAGAGCACCCTTAATCGAGTCGATAAATCTGTATCGACTACAAACACTATTTAAAAGTGCAATTCTAAAAATAGTTTATTATGAATTTCATAATCTCTTTTTAGAATTGCTTGAATTTCCTAGTGTTGTATATTAAGAAAGTATACTGTACAAGCGCGACATAGTATCCTCTCGTGTATTATTTCGGGTACACCCATATGCATTTTGCAATAGTGCAATTCAATCTACCAAGATAATTTTGCGATTTGCTGTAATTATTAATCTGCTATGAAAAGCCAATCTTGAAATTTTTTCACGATTAACTTTAATGTTACAAAAAAAATTTTTGTGATAACCGTGATGATTCATCGCATGAGGTTTATACTAATGTTAACCGTGAAGAATCTTCACAATTGACGTTTATTTATGAAATTTTTTAAACAGCTCGCCCATTAATAAATTGCTAATATATATTATATTAGATGCACGTTATTTCAAACCATTTATTCAGACTATATATATACTATTTTAAAGACGGGTGCTATTTTGTATTTATATGATTTTAGATTTGGGTCAGTTCATGCCGTTATGAGTATTCGGGATTTTTGATCAGTTTTAATTATTCATTGGACTATATTCCTGAGTAGATGCTCTACACTTAGCGCAAGTCTTGTCACGTAATATCATATAACGATTTGCTACAATTCTTGTCCAAAGTTTCAAAATTATATTTTTATCTTAAATATTGAAATTGAAATCAGAGGTGAAAAAATTTTTTTCGCGTATACCCGTATACAGATTGCCCAGGTACATACATGCTTAGTATATGATTTGAATTGACAATGATGTATACGCGATTGACAATTGTATATACGCGATTGTCAATTGTATATACGCAATTGTAAATTGTATATACGCAATTGACAATTGTACATTCGCAATTGACAATTGTATGAAAATTCCATGATTAGTGGTTTCGTATACACTTTGATCAATGTATGTACGTACATGCGTACCTGTATACGAGTATACCCAGTATACAGGTATACACGAAAAAACTTTTTTCACCTCTGATTTCAATCATTTCGAAAACAGTAATAATAGTCCTGAAGGACACCAATAAAATTAAAAGATAAAATTCATAACCAATATCAACTGTCTCGATAAATAAGCTATATATTGCTAAAAGACCAAAATTAAAAGTTTTTTAATCATTTTCAGCATATATATGTTCATTCAAGGTTAGCTTCAAATATTTGGAATTAAATTTCTTTACTCAAAATTTTCTATCAAGATTTTGAGCGAACAATTAAGAAAAAAGCGAATATTAAATAATAGAGTTTTTTATAAGACAAATTTGGTTAATAAGGCAGTTTATTTAAAATAATGCTTCCGGAAAACTAAAGGTTAATGATTTAGTTAATTGAATGATATAATACAAGAGGAAGTTATCTGTTTCAAAAATTTCCAAAATCATCATTTAAAACGGTGTAGAAAACAAATAATTATGTGATTCGTTAAAGTGTAAAATATTTGATTCCGAAATATCGAAGATTCTAAACGTTTTGTAATATATGGTAAAACTTCACCCAGAAAGCGAGCCTCTAATAAATTCATTCATTGGTTTATATCAAAATTCAAACAAATTTAACCTCTATCTCAGAAATCCCAACGGGAACCCCAGCCTTTAAGAATAAAATACAAATTGTACGATCAAACCATTAAGTAAAATGAAAAAAAAATATTAAAAAAAAAAAGACATGAGAAATATTATCAGACCTCTTCATCATAATCTGCCCAATCTCCTTTCGACGTTAAATCAATGTCATCAAAAATCGTTTTGCTTTCAGCACCTTTAGCTTTAAAACCAATCTAATAAAATAGAATGTAAATATGTATTGTAAGTAGTAACGATAAACATACGACTTCCTAATATAATTACCCTCGGATCAAAATCCACAAATTCTAACCCTCTGCAATCAATAACTGCCATCTGAAAGAATCGTCCGCTGTCATCAATGGTATATGGTTTAATGGGTGTATTATCAAATTCTATAATATACAAATATGTATATATTAGTTTCCATAGAGTTCCAATCCATTAACCGTTTATCCATATATCCGTAATCCGTTATCCAAGTATCCGATCTGAATTTATCCGGATATGGATAAATGGATAACGGATTTATCCGGATTGGAACTCTAAGTTTCCAATGAATTCCGTCTTCATCACGATGTAGAGATGTAGAATATGTGAACGCAACTCACGTGCATAACCTTCGCGTTTACAAAATTTACAACGCATTACAAAATTTGCACTTCCTCGTGAACCACTTATAGCATTACTGGCCTTTATAAATGTATAAATTCAGATTAAGTATCGCATATAAATGATTTTAATAACGTTATAGTGAAACACTTACAAGTCGATTTACTCCAACCCAATTCTCATTTATTTCTTTACAACTATTACATTTTACCTATACATAAAATGTATGGTCGATAATTTTAAATTATACTATTCTTTGAAATATTGCCTCGGATATATAATAGAACCTTAAAGTGCCATTCATATTCTTCGCTGCTCGGTCCAACGTCCGTAACATTTTCAAGTTCAGCCTTAAACTGAAGTGCCAATTTCTACAAGATAAAGTGAAATTTCGCGTAATGTGTAAACCTGTTTAGAAAAATGGAAGTTGGAATAGGTATTAAATGTTATATTTTCTTTAAAAACATACCACCATATTATTAAAGAAAGAAATAAATGTCAACTAGCGTAATTGAATTTTTGTTTTATATGCAATCTGCAGATCCCAACTTATTGGTGATTGGCCAGTAAAGGTGACAAATTGCGCAGAAATCGACAACAACGTTGTTGTTTCCTATAATATTGCGCGATTGTCCGTCACGCTTAATTATGTCACGTTTTTTTTT